TTAAATGTAATAATAATAGTAATCAACAACAAATAATTAAGTAATAATTAACGCTTAAAAGTTAACAAATCGTTTACACGCAAACCACCGTCATTCCCTATGTGTTTCATTGCTGATATCTAAATTTCACTCGAACATCTTCTTACGAACCGCTAACTGACTCCCAAGAGGATGCTTCCCTGATCAGGAAAATCTTAACTTATGCATGTCAATTGTTAACCGTTATCTTTTCCATATATCCTCATAAACAGTTCTTCTTATCTTTTACTTCGTAACCGTCTACCTCAAGTGGCATCTAGGCCTTGTATTGGGCGAAAATTATGCTAAAAACATACTGAGCTGTTCTTATAAGTAACAGCGCCATAATTTTGTGTTACAATTAATGCTTAATCTCTTTTCCATTTTCTACGCTGACAATCAGTTCCTCTCGTTTCCGTTGTATGTCTGTCATCCAAAAAGTGTCCCTTGTCTATCATATGTTGTTAAGATTCTATCTACCAATGATAAATCCCGTTAGGACTTCTAGTTCTCTTAGGACTGTCTCGCTTTAAACGTTAATTATATCCGGTGAGAGACGCATCTTTTCTTCCTCTTTTTGATCTTGTGTACTTTCTTAGTGCATCTTTCGTCCGTGTGTGCAGGGCGGTTTTATCCCAAGAAATGTCCTGGATTAATCTAATATATTTCTCAGATATATCAAGTTTTCCTAGATGTTCAAATTGGTGGCAATGTCCAGATAGTTGTATATAATAATGATTATATTTTACTTCAAGCAAATAGCAGGAAAAAAGGAAAAGTGATATGTAATCAACAAATCCTAAATTCCATAGGATTTATTCTATTATATTCTAATTTCAGTTCATATTCAAGCAGGTATTTTGTGGCCGATGCAGCCATTTTGGTCTTATTTTTTTATAAATATGTTTTAGGACTTGCGGCAGCAAAAATATTATAATAACCAGAATAGTTATTGTAGTAGTTATAAACATGGCAAATAGATAGATATTTATGTACTATATATATATATATATATATATATATATATATATATATATATATATATATTATGCACGTTACATTAGAACATGTAAATACCCTCTACAAAAATGTACATCATTTTTCAACGTTAAAAAGTTTTTAACGTTGAAAAAAGATGTACAGTTTTGTTGTTGGTATATGCATGTTCTAACGTAACGCAGCATAATAAATAAATATTTATTGCTCTACTTTTGTATTGAATCCTGTTTTAATTTAATGTTTTGAACGCTGAAATTTACTCTTCGTTCTTTTACATTTGTATATATATATATATATATATATATATATATATATATATATATATTATATATATATATATATATATAGAGAGAGAGAGAGATGAACATACATATATACATATATATATTTATATATATATATATATAGAGAGAGAGATAGACAGATGAACATATATATATATATATATATATATATATATATATATATATATATACAGTGTAACCCGGATATAAGAGACCCGGATATAAGAGAAACCCGGATATAAGAGAGATTTTCTCTCGTCCCAAATTAGACCCTGTGTTAATGTATATAAAACAGACCAAACCCGGATATAAGAGAAACCCGGATATAAGAGACTTATTCTCCGGTCCCGACAACTCTCTTATATCCGGGTTACACTGTATATAATAAATGTGAAATGCTAATGTCAGCTGTTTCCTCTTAAGGAAACATTCGGCTTTCATTGATCGAGCAGCCAGAGCTACTTTTTGGTTGAAATGGATATACTGAGATAGATAAAGAGATAGATGAAGATAGTTTTATTACATATATATATATATATATATATATATATATATATATATATGTGTGTGTGTGTGTGTGTGTGTGTGTGTGTGTGTGTGTGTGTGTGTAGAGAGACAGGGTGGCTGTGTGTGTTTGTTTAAGAGAGACAAAGTGTCTGTGTGTGTGCCTATCTTTGTGTGTGAGAGTTTGTGTGTTTGTGTGTGTGTTTGCCTACATTCCGATAGATATGATAAAAGTAAGATAAATAAAAGAAAGTATGAGTATTATAGATATGACAAATCAAATATTTAATTAATCGATAGGAAGATTATATAGCACCAATCACTTGAACAAAAAAGTAAAAGAAGGCCATCATTCGAAAACTAGTCTTTTACTGAGACACTTAACTCGTGATAATTTTCCCGTTAAGAGGCTCATATTTTCGCCATACAACAATCCCAGGAGAGTAGATTCTAAAACAGTTAAAAAAAAACATGCCTGGATATAAAATCCTATCAAATTCTGGAACTTGATCATGTTTCAAAAACACCTGTTAACAGCATTGTTATCAGAAAATAACTCCAGAGAATAAATATCATTTAGAATTTGCTTAATGAACAATACATTCGTTGTCCTTGACATAAAGCAGTGAAAAGAGTTTAGTACTCGGGAATATGATCTTCTTTAAAAAATTAAACAAACACGATAAGTAGCAACAGTCAATAATACTCTTTTAAGACAGTCTTGGTCAAAACCGTCTGGTTTTGACCAAGACTGTCTTAAAAGATTCGAGGAATCTTGCCGATTCCTGTTTTCCCGCTTTAATCTTCCTTGAAAAAAAAAAGCGTTTTAAAAGCACACAAAAATAGTATTAGTATTTAGTATTAGTATTAGTATTACTCCCATCAAGCACGGCTTAGTATTAATACTACTTCTAGACGATACAACTTAGAACATCAACACAGGAAGATATACTAACAAAGACCATAGCAATCCATCGTTTGTGACCTGATAGTCCACAGGGGTGGCTATAGTTTAAACATATATATACTTCTTAAACTCCTCCCTTTCTGGGGTGTGGTATTATGATTACTTATATCACATGGCCCAGTGGACAAAGGCGATCCATTGACTAGTCTCAAAGAGTGGTGGCTTCTATACCAGGCTACATCAATGGTGAACCAAAACTGGAGAGAGTTGAGTTAAAGGGGAATTTACTGAGACATCCAAAAGAGGCATGGCACGTGGAACTAGAACAATTTACCCCGGTAGACGAAATAAACGGTTCGGTTCGAAATTCCAACCACCTGAAGAAAGCCGGAGCATGCAACGACCGAAACGTTGTGGATATGGCAATGAATATGAGGATAACATTCCGAGTAATGTAAATAATGTAAGTTACCATGAAGATGTTAATATAAAAGATTCGGATATAATACGTTATAGTGGGAAATTGTCGGAAGCTGAAGGACAGGACCAATAATATTAGATCTTTTTTATTTTATCTAGAAACTCTAAACGCATAACAGAATGTTGATTGGTTGAAGGATTCGTTTTTTATGAATTATCAACCCTCTGTAATTTTTTAAAGACAGAAAATATTTTTAGATTGTAAAAATTTTTTTTTTAGTTAATAATGTTTTATTGATACAAATGTAAGAATTTTTTTTTGTTTTTAGATAATAATGTTTTATTGATACAATTCGTACTAATTGACCCATACCCGGGGAAAGAAGAGGTAGTTTTTTTTTTCTTACTTTTCCCAAGGGTGTCAATGCAAGGGAACATTTTGCAAAATAAGCCTAAGGTCGTCAGAATGGGAAGTTCTTTCACATCCACCATATTCACTTGATTTCACTGTAGATTTTCATTTGTTTTTATACGATTAGAGACAATAATAGTAATATATAGATTCACCTCTCGTCCGGTTCACACTCCTCCTCGTTTTTTTTTAACAGGAGTTGAGGCTTATCTTTTATTTCCTGCTTAGGATTGGGTTGCTGATCCCTCCTAAAGTCTATTTACACTGCCACCGAGCGGACAGGGAAATCGTCTCCTCCTTACTCCTATAAGATCCTTCTGGAAGTGTCTTTCCAGAAGACACCATAGCTCCAGATTCAGCGTCGGACATTGGGGATCTGAGGACAGCAATGCAGAACTGAACAGTGTGAAAAGGGATTGACAATGGACTTGCGACCAACCATAGGGAGGTCGAATGATGATGATGATGTACTTGTCTCCACGTACTGTCCTCTACCTTTTACAAGAACCAGATCAGGCCAACTACTGTTGTCATATTTGGGCGGTAGCTGCACTGGTCGCAATTTCCAGCCTTTAGAGATGATTGAATAACTGTTATCTCTAGTACTTAATACTAAAGTAACATGAAAAAAGAAATTGAAAATAAAAATGATTATTTCCGGCTGCCACGCTTATTGCAAACCCGACCCTCCCCCATTTCCAGTAAATACCTAATTCCCTGAGCTATCCTCTGCCTTAGAATACTGCTCTCATATTTAGGCGGGAGTTGCCTGTCCCTCACTTTCAAGCCTCGATAGAGTCCAAAAGCGTCTCCGAGTCCTTGTGGTTGATGAATTATTTCCCACCGTTCAGCGTCTCACAAGCAGGATGTTGCAAGCCTCCTGCTGTTCTGTCGATACGTTCACGGAAAGTGCTCGGACGAACTACATTTTGTTTCCGACAGCCCTAACCTTCACGTCAAGGACCCGCCATGCCACTTACATAGTAGCAAACCACCCACATTCACCTCGTATTCCATCGATGACAAGTAAGTTCCACTCGAACACCTTCTTCCTGTGTACCACTGTTCTGTGGAAGCGACTCCCAAGAGGATGCTTCCCCGATCATTCCAATCTTAATCTGTTCAAGTCTAGAGTTAACCGTGCCTTCCTCTCCTATCTGTACAAACTTTCGCTGAACGTAACCATCTACTTCGAGTGACCTCCATTCAAATAATTCGACATTGTTATTGTCTTCAGACAGTAAGCTGCAGGAATTCCTGCAAATTCTTTAATGAGTTCGGTGGTTGTTTTCGCGTTGGTGCCAAACCAATCTTCGACGCCGGGGGAACGCCAAATAAACAAGCTATCTTCTTTTTACATGTGTATGTAGCTGGTTGAATTGCACTTCAAGCACAGGTAAGGGAAACACCTGTCTAAATAGTGGTCAGGGACGGAATTGTCAATAAATCAGCATCAATGAGTCTATCTCCCTCAGTGCTTCTTTCTCCCTCCCTCTCTTTCTCTCTCTCTCTCTCTCTCTCAGTGTCTCTCTCCCTCTCTTTCACTCGCTCAATGCCTATCCAACCCTTTCTTTCACTCAATGCATCTCTCTCCCTCTCTCTCTCTTTCTTTCTCTTAGTGCCTCTCTCTCTCCCTCACTTTCTCTCTTTCAATATCTCTCTCATCCTTTCTCTACTTCAATGGCTCTCCTTCTCTCATTCAATAACTCTTACTCTACCTCTCTCTCTTTCAATGCTTCCCAATCATTCTCTTTCTCTCCTTAAATGTCTCTCTCCCTCACTGCCTCTCTCTCTTTTTATCAATGCTTTTCTCTCTCTTTCTCTCCCTCAATGCGTGCGTGCGTGTGTGTGTGTGTGTGTGTGTGTGTGTGTGTGTGTGTGTGTGTGTGAAATGGAAAAAGTATATTGAATCAATTGCAGCTAAAAAAAACCTGGTTTACTATGTCGTGCTTGATAATTTTTATCTCCAGAATCTATCTTACATATTTATAAGTCTACCATTGGTCCATGCTTTAAATATTGCGGTTATATCTGGTCTAGTGCGCCTACTATATATTTAGAGATTCTTAATAAAATCCAAAGAAAATCTGCAACGTTATTAGTCCTGACCTGGCATCTCGCTTTCGGTTCTTTTCCCACCGCCGAAACGTGGCTTCCCTGTGTCTTTTCTACAAATACTTTCATAATAATTGTTCTGATGAACTTTCCCCTATGGTAGCTAGAATTTATGAATTTAAACGCAGTACTTTGGTACTGTGTTTAAATTGGTGACAATTGGTAGCAACGTCTCATTATTTTACAGTTGAAATGGCTAGATGTAACCGTAAGTTCTATGCTAACAGTTTCTTCTATCGCACTTCTCGCTTGTGGAACTCTCTTCCGGTTCTTCTTCACCACTCAACTTTGATATTCAAAACTTTAAATGCAATGTCAATTATTATCTTATGTCTTCTTAATTCTTTTTCTTTTATTATCCTCTCTCCTTAATAGTAGTTTTTCTCATATTCTCTAACACTCAGTAACCCCTTTCTTCCTAGTAGTTTTATTGCCATTCTTAAAATGATTAATATCTATCTCTCTAGCTCTCTCTCTCTCTCTCTCTCTCTCTCTCTCTATATATATATATATATATATATATATATATATATATATATATATATATATATATATATAAACACACACATATATATAGAGAGAGAGAGTATGGGATAGAGAGAGAGAGAGAGAGAAAGAGACCCCGTTAAAAATGTATACACATTTTAGGAAAGGAAGAACATGTCTACATATTGTAATACTAAATTTATTTAGACATCACGAGATTAATGCATGTTACCTTTGGATTCTACAATTACAAGAGTTGCTCAAAATGGTGTCCGTTAGCTTCCAGATATTTATAAGTACGGCGAATCTTTGTTTGGGCAACGTTGGCCAAAGTGTCCAATAGGATTGCTACACATGCATTTTCAATTTCTTGCCTAAGGGCCGCCAATGTAATGGCATTTGTCGAGAAAATATTGTAAATACAGTAAGCAGTGTTATCGCCATCGGATAAAAATATGAAAGACAAGTTTTTCCTTTCCTGAAGTGGATATACATTTTGTGACGGACTCTCTCTCTCTCTCTCTCTCTCTCTCTCTCTCTCTCTCTCTCTCTCTCTCTCTCTCTCTCTCTCTCTCTCTCTCTATTTCTCTCTGTGTAAGTTTCGTTGAAAACGACTAACAAGTTGTGGTGCTTGTATTTCTATATGATTTCTTATGTGTTCACTTTCTTCTTTTCAGGACATAAAAATTGTCCTAATGTTTTCCAAGCGCTTTTGGCTATACTTTTCGTCATTATCAAAAATGAATGTTATTTTATTTGTAACTGAATATATGCTTTGTTTTATGCATGTATCTAGAATTATAGAGTTGTCAGCCGTTTTCATGAGCAAGACGAATCTTCACTTAGAAACATCATAAAGAAATACACAACTCCATTCGATAAAAACAAGAAAATTAATTATTGATTATTTATTACAAAAATTTTAAAACCGCTAACCTTGTCGTCAAAAATAATAATTCACCATTACATTACAGAGAACAAATATTAATTACGAATTTAGATGACCCTTAAGGAGCTGTGTTCCTGACCAACCTAAATTTGTAAATAATTATATTGGATATTCAACATGTTTAACATAAAAACTCACGTTACTTTGACAACAGCTCAATTAGGTCTCATTTAAATAAATATGGAGATCTACCAAACTCTATACGTAACATAGTCGTTGATAATACAAATATAACAGCCTTAGCTTTATGTACAAAAAGGTGAAAAGTAAAAGATGCTTTATTAACAGAAAAGAGAAAAGCCAACGCTCAATAATATCAACTAGGAACTCGGTCACAATGTGCTGAATTTGGTTAGAAAATAAAAAATTTATTATAACATAAAATAATGCATATATTCAGTTAGAAACAAAATAAAATTAATCCTTGATAATGGCTAGATCTATAGCCGAAAGCGCTTGGAAAATATTCAGACAATTTTTGTATCCTAAAAAGAGAAAATATAGACGAACACATGAGAAATTATACAAAAAAATCTCAATAACCACAACTTCTTAGTCATTTTTCAAAGAAACTTGCATAACAAAGGGATTGCTGCCCAAACACACAATATATATATATATATATATATATATATATATATATATATATATATATAAATTGGGGGCCATAGATAGTTGCAGTATAAACCACAGATTGGCTCAGTGGATATTGAACAAACACAAATATGCCTGAGCGAGAGTTTGCAATAGGATTGGTTAGCCGCCCTAGTAGGCGGGTATCCTCGAATACGAGTGGCCAGCTATTATTTTATATATATATATATATATATATATACACAATCATATATATATATATATATATATATATATATATATATATATATATATATATATATATATATATGATTAGCGAAGAGTAGCTTTACGATGCTAAAATTTAAGAATAATATCCGGAATAAATACCGCTTACGTTCATACTTGAATGACCTTAACATGCGGAATTGCCTTTCTTTCTCCTTCTTCCTTGTATCAATCTTTTTTTAATTGTCTGTGACGTTTTCTTCATCATTGCCCAGTTCTCAGTTACCAGTTCTTCTTCTTCTTCTTCTTCTTTACTGACATAGTTCCCTATCCCACATACAGCGAGGAGCCTTAAATCTATGGATTGTCGAAAGCCAACTCAATATGCTTAGACAGCTGGCCGTTAGAATAACAACGACGCTAATCAAATCCGATGCTCTTTGCAACTCTTTTTAAACCGCTTTTCGGACAATCTAATTCTCATACGCAATATTTACATAAAATTTATTAAATCAATCCTGACACGTAATCGACACAGGCTCATATTCATATTCATATATATATATATATATATATATATATATATATATATATATGTGTGTGTGTGTGTGTGTGTGTGTGTGTGTGTGTGTGTGTGTGTGTGTGTGTGTGTGTGTGTGATATCTAGAAAATAGGAAAGAACTCGTTAGGTAAATAACCCGAAGTTCTTTAGTATTTTTGTTTTTTTTAAAAAAAAAAAAAAGTGTTCGATACAAAAGTAGAGCCTAAATATAATTATTTATTTAAAAATAAATATATGTGTGTGTGTGTTTGTGTGTGTGTGAAATTACTTAGCATAAATCTGTAAAGACAAATTGAATAAAATAGACAATCGGAAAAATAGTACTTAGTCCTTTCTGACGTGTTTCGTCATTTGAATTTATCAAGGCAAGTGATAATAAACAAAACTTAAATGTCGTGTAGTTACATGAAATTAATAAAAATTGTAAAAGACTCTCCTGTGAAAGCCTCTTTTTGAATATTAAGAGTGTTTTTTGTTTTGTTTTGTTTTCCATGTCAGTAATGTGTTAAAATTTCTTAGAATAAATCTATAGAGAAGGCAAATTGAATAAAGTCAGTTATGTGCCACGCGTGGTACACGCTTAAGCGATCATGTGTCTCTCGATACGCGAAGCAGATTATTTCCAGCAACAGGTTGCCATTTCTTTCTGCGGTAAACAAGTTCACATTCAAGGCTATAGAACCCGGTCTGTCCTGCTATTTATCCACAACTGGGGGAGGGGGGAGAAGAGGATTCATACCTTTCCCAAGCGTATCAGCACGTAAGTGAATGTAATGGTTTCGACTGGAATTTGAACTTGGCGACTCTCCGATTTTTCAATTGAGCCGCTATCCATTACTCCACCGTGCCTCTTGCGGGGTGGGTGGGCACGCTGGAGTAATGGATAGCGGGTTCTATAGCCTTATATGGCAACTGGTCTATACAAGGATTTATATATATATATATATATATATATATATATATATATATATATATATATATATATATATATATATTTGGTTGTATAGATGTGAGTTTGTGACCCTGGGTTTCACGCTTTAGCGATCGTCAGGCAACATGAAACCCAGGGTCACAAACTGACATCTATCCAACCAAATATGTTAGCTCTATCTCTGATATTGAGCGCTTTTTAATAAGTACCGTGCATAAAATATAAATAATTATACATATATATATTTATTTATATTTATATACACTTTTCACACACACACACACACACACACACATATATATATATATATATATATATATATATATATATATATATATATATATGTTTTTTTTTTTTTTAGCAATCAAACCATCACTTGATAAGACACCAGAAACATTGAAACAAAATTACTATCTTTGTAGTGATGCTATAACATGCCTATTTTATAATTTTTATATATATATATATATATATATATATATATATATATATTCATCTATATAGTTTTATGGTCAACCCAATATTCAGGTGCTGAAATAAGACCCTGTAGATTGCGTGTGCATGTAACTCCGAGTCATGTTACCGGTTAGAACTAAAACATGTATATAAGTAGGTCACACACCTATACTGTTGTAATAGTTAAATATAACCATCACTTCTCTTCCAACAGTTTGTTTTCCTGCACTTTTCGCCTGTGGAACTCCCTTCCGTTTACTTGCTTCCCTGGGTATTACAATCTTCAAAAATTGAAATGCAACGTATTGACATTTTTTGTTTCCTTGATCTCCGATCATTTTTTATCCTCCCCTCAATAGTCTTTTCTTTCACTTTCATTCTCTATAAACTCCTGCGTACTAATGTCATTCCGCATTGCCTGAGGTGAAATGATTCAAACAAATTTATTAATATATACTTAATAGCTATTATATATTACATCGAGCACTATTTTATTAACGCTAGAACTCAATGTGTGATATCTTAAATACACTATAATCCATCTACTGCAACGTCAAAGGACCTAAAAAAGAAAGCAATTGTGTATTTGGGAAGCAATCCTCTTTTATAGTAATTTCATTGAAGATCGCTGATAAATCACTAAAAGAAAGCGTTTTATTCCGTTATTCAAGTAATTTCTTTACTGGACACAACGTGTGTAAAAACAGTTCAAATATTCAATGTATCTCAGCGCTTTGGTCTAATCTGTTAGCCAGTATCAAGAATGATTTTTGTTAACTAAATATGTTGATTTTTAAAATATATATATGTATATATAGGGGTAGAGATATTTTTAATCTCCCAATACGGTCTGCACATTGTGACCTTGTTCACTGTTTATATAATCGGCTTTTTCCTTTTTTATGCTTCCTTTATTTTTAACTATTCGTTTGTATTTGCATGAGTCACAGGTTGAGAGTTATTTGTACGAATGTAAAAAAAAATTAATAAAACGCTTAATCGCAGCCAGTCTTCTTCAACGAAACTTGTATAAAAGAAGGATTGCTACTTAAGTACACAATTATATAGAGCTTATTTTTCTAAGTGCTTAACACTGAGTGCGTGCATGTGTGTGCAAGTAAGAATATGTATCAATAGATGTTAGGCCGATATGTCGTTAATGAGCGATGCATCAGTGCGTTTATTTTTCTCTATAATTAAAATATTTTTCTTAGACACTTAAACGCATCCATTCATATAAAAGGAGGGAAACGAATGCACAAACACGAGCACACGCTAACATATATATATATATATATATATATATATATATATATATATATATATATATATATATATATGGTGGGGTGTTTCTACGCCGCTCATAATGGACTCATTGACACGGTGAATCGGCTACACGACGGCGTCTGTTGTTTGGTTAAATCTATTTATTCTTAGTCAGCGGAAACACATTCTCTGCGAATTCTTCATATTCTGACATTTCGTTAATCTCTTTTCAAAAGTTTCATGGAAACGGATGGTAGGCTGCATTGTTAGCCTTAGGAAATACCTCACCAATTTGGTGCCGTCTCGAAAAACAATAATAAAAATCTCATGAATGAGCATGTTCTATAAAAATCAGAATGGAAAATGACTAATTGTCATCAAAAACTGGAAGTGGTTGAATATATTCTGAAATTTGTCAACTTTGACCTTCAAAATTTGAAATGCAATGTCAATCGTTATCTACTTTATTCCTGACAACTCTTCAGTTGTTCTCGCTCCTTCATAATGTTTTCTGTTTTCTAAATAGCATCTATTAACCCGCTGTGTTTTAGTGGCTTTATTGCTTATTTGATTTGAAAAAAAAAATGACATATAAAAATGAATTCTTTTTTTATCCACGACGTCCTTCTCTTCTGCCCTTTAATTACGATGTCTGGGCGATTAGCTTTTATTGCTCGCTCTGTGTGGGTTTTGTAAAGTCCCATAAAATTGTTACAGATCCTATCTCTGTAAACCGTTCTTGGTGACGTCCGTACCAATTTTTTTGCAATTTCCTTGTATAATTTCCAGTGCAGATATCAGCCCAACTCTATCATGCCAAGTGTTTATATTCAGTGAGCGATAACACCGTGCAACTTGACACAAGATGGTCAATTGTTTCTGCATAGCTAGCATAGAATCTGCATTTCGGTTTAACACGATTTTTTTATTATGTGTGCTTGGTAATTTCTAGTTAGCAAGAATTAGTTCCATGAAGAGTCTTATCTTGCAATCCTTCCTGCATTTGGTACATTGCATTTGCTTTCTTTTTTAAGCGCTTTGCCGTTGCAGTAAATGTTTATTTGCACTTCTTAACACACTTGAAATTTTCTTTTGAATTTGTTGGCTTCCTTCATTACTGAATAATTTTTCTTCTTTTAAATTATTATTAATTATTAATATTATTATTGTTTCGTTTATCAATACGGAATAGTGCATGATTTATGAAGTATTGGCAGAAGACATTAAACACTTCTTTCTTACTTTCTTTCCTTCTTTCTTTCTTTCTTTCATTTCCTCATTGAAACTAAGTAGCGTCTTTTCCCCTCTTTCTACGTAATCAAAACGGAATAGTCCATTATATTTAGGTATTGGCAGGATATAACGGTCGTGCAAATTAATGAAAAGCGGGATAAGCAGAATTATAATAGGATTATTATTAGTATTAATATTATTATAATCATCCTGATTTCCTGTGATTTCTTTTGGATACTCATTTCGTTCCGGGTCCAAAACAGAGACCTAATTTCTGAAATGACATTCTTTTTCTTCCTTTTCTTCTTCTTCTTCTTCTTCTTCTTCTTCTTCTTATTATTATTATTATTATTATTATTATTATTTCCTTTGATTTCTGATGTATACTACTTTACTTCCGGTTTCCAAATAGTGACCCAAGATCAGAAAGGACTTCGGTTTTAGCTTTTAACCCATCACTACTTAATCACTGATGAGTACGGGGTTTGTCTACACCAACTTATTTAGTACGGACACATTATTGACCATGAATAGGCTTATTTTTTCAATCCTTCCTGCATTTGGTACATTTGCATTTGCTTTCTTTTTTAAGCTCTTTGCCGTTGCAGTAAGTGTATTATGGTTCACTTGCACTTCTTAACACACTTGAAATTCCTCTTTGAATTTGTTGGCTTCATCTATTACTGAATAAAGTTTCTTATTTCTTTCATGTTCATTGACACAGATCATACGCCAGTCTTCTGTAGAGTTTCCAGGTATCTTTAAAAACCGATTTTTATAGTTTTGTATAACAGGTCTAGTTGAACTAATCCTCTGCCTACTTCGGATCTGGACACATACAAGCGATCAACATCAGCCTTGGAATGATGTATGCAGTGGCTGGAGAAAAGCTTTCTCGTTTTGACAT